AATCTGTCATCATAACTTTTACCATTTTACCATCAGGTTAATTTCAGCTGCTGCTTTTTCTCAATGTGAATAAGACATTGTGGTTGATGTGGATTTGGGGATACACTGGGATCTATATCGGTTATCTCTAATGCATTCCAGTCTGTTAAACACTTTTTTTTTTTTTCTATTTATATGGTAACAATTTTGTATCCTGGCCATTATACCGATTGTCCACCTGCTTGATTATCTGCCACTCCACTAAAGCACATATGAGACTTAGTGCTCTGTGTATCAAACTGAACTGATAACTGTCTTATCAGAGGTTCCAGTGTAGATTTAGACTCATGGACTTATTCTAAGCCTGCCCTAGGATAAACAGATTTAGCTTTCATTTTTAATTTTGGGTGGCCACTTAAGCTGTCTGAAATGACTTATCTCACCGAAGTTAACTTTATTTATTTCCAAAACCGCAAACCAATCTGTACTAGATCCTTGCTTTGTAAATTTATTGGGCAACCTGTCATCATCATTTTTGTCCTTCAGCTTTGTGCGATTTGAAGACTTGTATGTCTTTGCAAGATGGTTGCTTTTCCTATGTGATACCTTGCTTTTCCTGCAGAGTTCTTTGCAGTGTGTTACAATTTATTAGAAAATTTGGCCTCTGCTATCTTCTAAGCTTGATACTGTTTGCAAGGCTAGGTACGAACATTCAAAACGCCCAAGGCAGAATTGGTCCAAGTTGCACAGTTTTCTGTAAGTGGCATTGTTTAGATCAGTAGTAAGCAGAGCACGCATTCACCTTTTGGTGGGGGTAGGGGGCAAACCTTAGACTGGTTTAAAAATGGCAGAACCCAGTCTGTGTGCGCCAAACTTATATTTTGTTACGGGCATAGACCTCTTTTGTGTGCCAACTTTCTGCTCAGTCACAAGTATAGACTGGTTTCTGATTGCTTATACTGGTAAAAGTGTAATGTCTGTATTTGGCCCAAGTGTTAGGCCTGCATTTTTCACTAGATGCAGTTGAACTCCTTCTCTGATGCTTTAATTTAGGAAGCACAGTTTTCACAAGCCTTGGAAATGCCCATTGTTTGTGCAAATTCAAATGATATTTTTCTCAATTTCTCTCAATAACCTTGTTCTTGTTCTGGTTGTCCTTACCCTCACCCCCTGTGGTTTAATGTTATCCAGGTCCTCTCTTCGCAAGCATTGCTGTCCATGTTCTAAGCAGCCAGGGGCAGCCGCCCCACAGGCTGCTCTCCCACAGGCCCCACCAGGGCCCTCCTTCCTCCCCCCACCCCCCCTGCACTGTGCCCATGCAGCCTCAGGCTCACCCTCTGCTCCCCAGGCTGCTCTCGGCTGCCCCAGGGGCTGGGACCGGGGCAGGGGCAGGAAGCAGAAGCTGGAGGAGGGAGGGGCAGGCTGCTGGTGCAGTTGACATGATAGGGGTAAGGGGAGCCAGGTGACCACAACTTAACCCCTTGCAGAGTTATAACTAAGGACTTACTGAAATCACGGTTTCATGGAAATCGCGAAACCCAGCATTGCCTGTAAAATCAGGCGATGCTTGCCAAATTTGTGCGGGAGCAAACAAAAACCCATACTGCAAATAAAAGGCTGGCTCCCCAGGGGGGGCAGTAGTCCTCATGGGGCTGTGTCCTGGCCGCGCAGCCTACCACGGGGGAAAGGGAGGGCGGTGCCAACAAGACGGGGAGCCCAAAATAGCTGCTACCTTCGCCACTGATCGGCTGAGAGGACTGCTGGTTGTGTGGCTCCACCCATCTCCACCAGTTGGCGGGAAGGGACGGGACGGGGACACGTGACGGACAGCCCTCGCAACCAGTTGGCAGCAAATGTTCTGCGCTGAGAGCGTCCTCGAACTGAACAATCGACCCATCTGAGAACAAAATGTGGAGAACTTTTGTCCAGTTTAATTCATCCCATTGAAAGTCTCTGCTCCCCCCACGACTTGGAGCAGGGACTCCATTTGTTCAGGGAGAGATCAGCTTAAAATGAGGGATCTGCTTCTTGTTATCCCTCTGAAAATCTACCCAAATATGGGTGAATTGAAAACTTCTGAGAATTGCAACCTACATATTGTCAGAAACACTTTAGTCTGGTAGCTAAATTCTCTAAAATGTTTCTACAGACAGAAAGATCCCGTGTGCTGAAAAGACTGTCCCACAGAACGTGTTCTCAAGGAGGGCCCCGGGGGAGCAGAACCAACCTGCGAGGGTTTCTCCTGGTTCTCACGCCTCTCTGTTGGACCCTGGATCTTGAAAGCAAGTGGATGCTTTCTCTCCTGGGATTTGAATGCTCCCTGTACAGGTGGTAGGCAGCATGGAAAAGAAGGATATAGGCTGACACGTTTTCACAGCGTTGAGGGGCTGGGGGGACAAATATGAGGCTCTGCTGAAAATCAGAAACTTTCCAACCTTTGAAGGCTCTGCACAGAAGTAACTGGATGAAATGCTGTGGCCTGTATGCTAAAGTCAGACTATTTTGTGATCTGATGGATCCATCTTGATTTAAAGCATGTGAGTTATTGAACGCTGCTGATGACCCAGGTAGTGGTCAGTTTAGCTATGTGATTGATTTTTTTTTGTGTGTGTGTGTGTGTGTGTGTGTGTGTGTGTATTTTTTAATTAATTTCTTAAAAACACAAGAAATTATCAACAAATCCCAACTGCCTCCTTACGTTAAGTGGATAACTACTCGAAAGTTGAGAGATATCAGTATTATACAGTTAACCTGAATTCAGTTCCTTTTTCAGTATGCATTATGATAGTCCCTGTTTATAAGATTAGGTTTTTGTCAACTTTAGCTTTTTTTCTCCATATGCAATGCAACAAATAATTTGGGCTCTAATTAATATGTCTTTTAATATTTTAAATTTGAACCTTAGATCTAATAGAAAGGGTTGGTAGTGATCAAGGATCTCGCTTCCCACCTGCTTTCTTGTAAAGAAAATCTCTTTCCTCTGTAAAATTTTTATGAGATGGCATGTTTTATAGGCTGAAGCTACAGTGGTGATTCATCCTGGGTACAGCTGTTGGTGTCATTGTACCAGCGCATGCATGTTGTAGACAGACAAATCTGCAGGTTTTGCATGAGTAAAGCTTGGAACCAGTGTGCAAATCATGCCTTAGAGCTTCTTTGCCGGTCCGTTTAAGGTGGTTTATACGTGAGACTAGCGGCTGATGTCTGAAATCCCCAATGAAGGCAAGGCTTTGGTCTGCCAGTTTATGACTTTTTTTCCTTTTTTGTTGTGGGTGGAGTGGTGTTAATCTTCAGTGTCTGGATCTGCCTCATGCAAGCCTATGGAGGATTTAACCTCTGACAGCAATACTGTCTTCTCCAAAGAACATTTGCAAGTGCTGGTCTTGCTTTCGCCTTCTCTGCTTCCCTGCCAACCTAATAAATCCAGATGGCTTAGTTTGTTCTGTGTTTGCCAAACATCTAATTGGCATCTGATAAGTATGACATGCAGGAGTTTATTGTAAGAGACTTTTCTGATCTCAGTCACCCGACATGAACCAAGTTTCTTAAAAGAAAAATAAAGAGAGAGAGAGCGAGAGCCCTGTTGCATTTATTTAGTTATTGGTGTTTATTTGATACGGCTAATAATATGGCTAAAGTGTGCAAGCTGCTGAGGCTGGCTGCTGTCGCAGCATCGTAGCTAAGTAATGGATGAAATTGAGGAACTGGGAATATGATTGCTTTAGTGCAGAAGCAACCATTGTGATATAATTGAAAGGAGCCCTCTGCACATGCCTACTTACACCCACCTTCAGGCTGAGAGAAGCTGCATTTCTTGAGAGCTGAGCCTGGCTTCTGTGGATGGGAAGTTGGGGATCCCAAATACAGATGAGTCCTTCAGACTAGCATCCCTTTAGCTTGTGCTACTCGCTTTGTTTTCTTTCAGGTTGTGAAAGTAAGTGGATCTGTTTGCCCCCCGTGACACATGTGCGTAGAGCACTGGAAATAGGAGTCAAATGCTTCGGCCTGGGGGGCGGGTGGAGGGAACCTTTGTGATGTGTTACAGCCCATCTCCAGGCCAGGCTCGGCTCTAGTAGTATATCTGATGTCCAGTAGAGGGTCCTATCACACAGTATATGTCAAAACCTCCAAAGTGCGCAAGCTCCAACATTCAGTTTCTGCCTCCTGTAGGCAGAGGTTGAAAATCAAGGGCTTTCTGAGATTTTAAAAAGCAACTCAAGTAGTTTCCTTTGCCATCTTGGATGCTTGTTCCGGTTACCAATACTGTGCATATCGTAAAGGTGGGGTGGTAATCTCATTCCTGTTGCAAAGACGCTGAGCTATCTGTTCCCTATGCCCTACTGCATAAAGGGACTCTCTTCATAGCAGGCAAGGTTTTCTGGGTAAATCTGATATCTTTTACTAGACCAACTCAAATAGTTGGAAAAATTCTTCTTGGCATACTTTTGGGTATAAATACCCTTTGTCAGGTTGAGGAAGCATCTGCAGTTGCTCTATGTCCTTAGACCAATCTATACCTATCTTCATAGCACACACTTTGCTAGAGCATGGAAGCACCTTGGCCATCTAAACAGGATCATGTGTTTTGTCTTTAGTGGTTGGTACAGCCACGAGTAAGAAAAGGGTGCTGTTTGGCAAACTCTTATCCCAAGTAGGGAAGCTAGACCTGCATGAGCTAGGAAGTGCAGGCACGCATACTACAAGGCTTGGTTTGGAGTGTGGACTGAAGGGCATGATGGTAAGTGGGGCTATGGTCACTGGAAGATGGTTACAGAGCACAGTAGCAGCTTGATATTCTAATAGATGTTGCCAGCTGTTTGTGTGTGTGGGTGCACGTGCGTGTCACAAACATGCAAGTTTAGCTGTTTTAATGGACTGTGAGAGCCTTGGCCTGTAGCAGTAGATTTGCTTGCCTCTCCCTTTGTGTTCCTCTCTATACGTTCTCATCTAACACATAGTCATTCAACCATTAGCATGTCTTAAGTTCATTAATTGCTTCTATTTTTCTTCTAATTTCTTAGGACTCCTGATGATCTCTCAAGGCAGATTGTTGCCCTGCAACAGAGGGAGCTTGCACTAAAAGAGCAGAACACTAACATCACAAACAGGTCAGTGCTGTCAGCAAAGAGTGCAGTGTGACAAAAGTCTGTTCCTTGGATGTGTATAAAGAAAATGAAAGAGCTGCAGTCTGAGACTTTTTGAATTTTGCTACTCTTTAGTTTATCTTTCTGCTTCCAGGGAGCCTACTACAAGACAAGTGTTGCTTGTCTCCCATGTGCTCATAGCGAAGTTTCATTTATGACTGCCTGAATCTTTTCAGAAAGTAACAAAACACCAAGGATTGTGAGAGCTCTTAGTGGTGGGAGAGTCAGAAATGTGGGGAGCATTTTATCCATATTTACTTTGTGTTTCATGGGTAAAAGGTGCTTTCCTAATCTTCCACTTGTGCCAAAAGGGTAAGAAAACTAAATATATAGAGCAGTTGCCTAGATGTAGAGCTGAAATTAAGAGTTGTGAGGCTCATGTGACTTAATACATTAGCAGAAAGGGCCACTTTACTCTTGCAATTGGTTTGCTAGATAGTGGGATAAGCCTTAGAGCTTCTGGTTTCAATCAGCAGCATTCTGATTGTCAAATACTTTAAGATGTTGAGGAGTGTTAGCAGCCTTGACCCTCTAGCTGGATTTGGAGGTGGGAGTTATTTGAGATATGGCATACCATCATGATGCAGTTGGTTTAAAAAAAATCCCCATCTGCCAGCAGTACTGGAGAATATGAGTTTGGGTATTTGCATTGGTTTGTGAGTAAAGGAGGTATGACTGGTGCTTCCCTTTATGTTGTCTTCCAGGTTAATCACAGATACAGCCCTGATTTGAGTTTGCTTTTAATGACAGTTGTGTTCAGAAGTGGATACTAGTGTTGGATGTGTAGCGCTCCCTGAAAATCCAAATCTGATTTCTGCATACTTGAACTGGCTTGAAAAAAACATGTCTGTTCTGCTCCTTGCTTGCAGGGTCAAGCAAGAGCCAAATTACACAAGGGACCAGAGTCTTCTGAGGCTTCTGTAGGAAATGCTTTAAGGATCTGGTACTTTGAAATATCATCTCAGTTTGACTCTCTAGTGTGATAGACATTTAAGTCTTAAGATATAAGTTATACGTTTGCCTCTTGGTACCCTAAGAACTAGATGCTAAGGTTTTTCTTTTGTATTAACTTATTCTGGAAGGAAAACATCTCCCCTATCTTTGTAATTGTGGAAGGTTGTAATCTGGATCCTGGCATTACATGTAGACGTAACCATGAAAAATCTGATTTACTTTATAGTCGGTTGGGCTAATGACTTATTGATCAAACTCTTCCATTGGGGCAATTGTTAGGATAGTGGTAGCACCTGGGAGCCACAGCCCTGGATCTCAGGACTCCATTGTACGATATTGGTAATTCTCAACCAGGGTGCTGCAGCACTGTTAGGTTTGTAAACAGGATTCACAAAATAAACCCAGAGATTTCAAATAAGAATTCAGTGTTCCAAGTATTCTGCCCTGTTGTGGTCTTTCTGAGTTCTTTGCAACAGAAACATAGTTCTGTTATTTTTCTGCAGTCAAAAAATGAGGGAAAAGTAAGAGCTGGCATTTCCTGAGGGGTGCCTTGAGTCTAACGAGGAGTGTTTTTAGTCTAAGAAGGCTGAGAACCAATGTACTGTGTCCTGTACACAGAGCAAATAGTTAATTCCTGCCCCAAACATCTGACTATCAAAATTAGAGCTGTTGTAGTTAAGTCCTTTGTTCCTGGGCCCCTGCATCCAGAGACTCAGTGAATTATACTGTTGCTACTGCAGCTGAGTTTGGAATATCTTGCCCTACCTCAGAGCTCCATCAGAGGACTGGCTTGGTTTGCCAGAGATGGTTTTTGTTTGTTTGTTTTGTGTGTTTTTTTTTTTAACTTTCCAGACACAGATGATTACAAGTGGCAAGGTTTTTAGGCATGGCTATTCCTTGCGAAGAAGAAATGTGATTCTGTGGCAGGGTGCGCTCTATCACCCTCTGCCCACACACTCTCTCTGCTGTTTCTCAAACCATTTAATTTTCTTGCAGTCAGAGCCAGTTGTCTGTTCGTGTTAGAAGCGATACCGCAAGAGCTTTCAAAAAAGACTGTTGGGTTCATGGCTCTTTGTGTTGCCAAGGTGTTAGCTGACATGTCCAGCCAACAGCAACGTGCAGAATTTCTACTTTAGTGTAAATGTGTTGAGCACAAAGCAGTCAAATCTTCCATAGAACAGCAGTGGCTAAATGCCCTCTGCTAATCTCAGGCCAAACAGCGTGTCTCCTGAGGTGCCTTGTAGATTCTGGTTCAAGGGATGATCATGCTGTCTGTCACTGGTGCAGGAAGGTACAAACAGAATTCCAGCTGGGCATTAAAAGCTTGGAGTATTGTTGCTAAGTGCTACTGAAACCGTTTAGCCAGTTGTTAAAGTTGTTAGCCAACTGTAAAATCCCCTGGATGAAGCCAGCTAAAATGGTTCATAGTTTTGCTGTCAAGAAGTTTAATGGAAACCCCGCCCCCCCAAAAAGCAAACCCAAAATATGTTTAATATTTTAAAAGCATTGTTTGAATGATCAAATTAAAACTGAAGAACTAGTGACCATGTTTAACAGTCATTGATTTTGCAGGTTGCTTCTCAGAATTTGTCAGAGAAAATGCTTTTGCTGAATTCATTAACAGCCAGGAGGAGTCTTGTTGGAAAAAATGGCCCTTTGGCAGTGTCCATTTGTGCTGGACATAATCATTACAATTTAGTTTAAAAATAAAAGTGTGATTTAAGATTACCTCCTGATTTCAAAACTGCCTTCAAGTGACACAGGTGGTCAGAACTTGCTCAACTGCAAACTTTGAAGGCATAGTTCTAGCTGTTTAGTTTTTAAAATTGACCAGTTCTCCTTTCTTCTGCCTAATATTTTATTCCATCTTAAAATATAGGCAATAAGGTATATTAGAAAATTTTCCATTATGAATTATTTGAAAGTTCCCAAGAAAGGATCTTGAGCTTTTTGAAAATAAAGTGCTTGTTAAGAGACCAAATCTAGTTTTCTCTTTTTCTTGAACCCTATCCAGTGTCAGCTGATGGTCTGTTCTTTTATTTGCTTCCTAGTAGTATCCAAAATGTGTCTATGTAACCCAAAAGTTTAGTGTGTGATTGTAACTCCCTCTAGCGGTTGTTATTGGCAGATATACAACCTTCTACTGTCTCGCAGTTAGAGTCCTCCATTAACTTTAATTGTAATGTATTCAGTCTTCAGAATTGATGATCCTGTTGATGAATGGTTGTGCCTGTAGGTACTGAATACTCTCCAAACATCAAGGCCTGGATCGCTTTCCCAGTGAGCTTAGGTTAATTTTCTCATTGCCTGCTGAAAGAACGATTGTATGAGTTTGGCTTCCTGGCTGCTTAGGAAACGCGTGACCAGAAGAGGCTCGCACCTGAATTTCTTTTGAATAGTGAAGGACAAAATCATTAGTGGGTCCTAATTTCCTGTTGTCAGAATGGAAAACGTGAAGGTTAGGCAAAGAGGTTTGCAAGTAATCCGCTAGTTTATGGTACAATTAATAGCTCATGGACTTGGTCCTTTCCTGTGTGTTTCATGGTGCCAGTGATTTAAGCTGAGGTGTGATCTGTAAGATCTTTGAGACTACTTTGTAACACGGGCTATGCTTGACCCTTGGTTGTCATCCTACCCCTGGCTGCCTATTCTGTATGCAAAGATATGTTTGGTGAAGGTGGTGGTTATGATAGGTTAGTTTTATATCACGATGTGGGAGGTGCATGGAGTGGGTTGTGTGTGTCTAGGTAACACTAGCAACCTTTTCATGATTTTATGCCGCTATCGTTTTTATTGTGTCTCATTTTTATTGGGGAACCTCCCTTCCATGCATCATGACTGTTGTAGATGTTTTCCATTCTGCTGTTCATCTTGTAGCTTGATATATCACTCCCAATTTCCTTTTGATGGGGTGAAGCTGATTACTAATGTAGCAGGCTATGAGCAGACTGGGCTTCAGAAAACAAACCAGGCATGGAAAAGATAGCACAGGGGAACAATTTGCTACAGAAGATCACATCCTTTCCTGCAAAACCGAAGAGCAGATTTAGCTCTGCATGGAGTCTGTTGCTGTTCAGTTTGCCTTAGGTGATCTACAAAGAGTGCGGAGAAGAGGGGGTGAGACAGGTAGAAGTGTGTTCAGAACAGCATATTGTTTCTCTGAGGAATAACCAGCCAAACCCGATTTCACTTTGTTTTTCCATTTTTCAACTGCTATCTCTTTATTGCTATAGTGCTTCTGCACTGCCAGTGTTTCCATTATTATAAAAGCAATAAAAGGTCATCACACCATAAAAAGATTACATTATAGTAACCTTACAACTCTGCCTTTGCATTGATTTTTTTTTTTCTTTTTTTTTTTCTTCCTGGCTTTTGGAATTCGAGCGCAATCTGTGTTTGTGTAACCTGTTTATATGTCAGTATTTCAGGGCCCTCCGGAGATCAGGTGATGATGTATATTGTGTGCTGTACTGCTTAAGCAGTTTGGGGTGACTTGGATACCAAGAACCAGGGGACTACATTTTCTCACTCTGGGTTTAAGTGAGTTATTTTGTTACTTTAACAGTAGGTAGGTTTTTTGCTTGTTTACATGTCTGAGCTATATGGAGTCTCTTGGAGGTTGTTAACATTTGCTAGGTAGGAGAGGAAGTTCCTCCTGTGGTGCTGACATGTTGTGGGGGGAGGCGGGGGGGAAGGTCATTGCCTGTCTTCCATTGAGCACATTAACAGCAACAAAAAAACCAACCTCAGCATTGCCGAGTAATGTAGCGGAAAGCGCCATTACTAGCGCATGATGGAATCTCACCGCTGGTTTGCAGCGCGTTGCTGAGAGTCGTGTAAATAGAGTAAATTATACTCTAGGCAGCAGCAGCAGGAGGTATTGTGGAGCCGAGTAACTGTAGAGTAAAGATAACAATCCAAAGTTTAGAGGAGCAGAGGATAATGAAGACCGCTTTAGGATTGCATTGATAGTATGAGATGCACCTGAACTGCATCCTGCAAGAAATTGG